CTTTTTACAATCTACTGCTCTTGATGTTGTGGTTGCTCTAAGACTTGTATCTACGAGTCTGAATAGAATGCAAGGTCGAACTTAAAAGAGTTAATTTTGTTTTATTTAATAAAACAAGAAGATAACATATGAACACCATCATTAATCTCTTCATATGGTCCATTGTTTGTTCATTACGTTCAAATGGCCAAGCTGCTAAATAGAATTGGTCAAAAAACCCCTTTAAGCTTGGTTCTATTTCTTGGAGCAATCTTTGTATTTCATCAAAATTGTATATAGGACCTTTTTTACAATTGCTCTACTGAAATCAATCTTTTCATTTACCTCTTCCTCTTCCTCTTACCCTTCCATATCCAAGGTTTTCACTCTCCTAGGTTCTCTTTTTAAAGGATTTTCCACAAAATTCATATAACAAATGTTACATAAAACAACATGTTACTTTCACTAAGTTGTTGTTCTCAGCTTCTTTCCATTTATTGCTGATTCAGTGGTTTTACATTAGGGTTGTTAATGGAACATAATGGGTTGGGTTGGGTTCATATTATATTGGAGCAAGGGTTAACCTAACCCAACCTGGGTTAAATGTACTGGGTTAATACTCCATGGGTTGCTCTGGGTTACTCCAGGTTGCTTCATGGAGTAATAATTATAATTATAATTCTCATTTAAAGAAAAGTAAAAAAAAATTATGCCAATTTTTACAAATATATGTGATAATTTCTTGTTTATCATTATATTCTTTTGAAAAACATTCCCAAACCCAAGAAGTTTCACGTGAAGTGTTTGATAAATTAGATTCATTTTCTTGTATAGTATTAGTTGTACTTGTAGTAATTATACTTGTAGTAGCTGTACTTGTAGTAGTTATAGTTGTAGGAGTAGTAATTAAACTTTCATTTCTTCTTGACTAAAAATCAAATTAATCTCACTTTAGCATAGTAGAAATTCTATTTTGATCAACATTTGCAATTACATAGGTAAACTCGATAAGTCAGCCATGCATGGCTGAGCATGTTTGGCTGACTTATCGAGAGAACTGACTTATCAAGACCATCTTACAAAGAACACGTGACATAAAAATTTTTTGTGTTAAAAATTTTATTATTATAAAATTAAATAAAAATTACAAATAAATAACGAAATAA